TTCAGCTTTCGACGCTCTATCTTTTGGTATATTACACGAAAAATTTTGTTAATTTTTTGTCATCTAAAAAAGCCTCAATTTTATATCCGAGATTTTCGATGATTTTGTTCAACTAGGACTCTTCCCGCCCGGAAAGGTTGAATCAGGGTAACTTTTCACTAGCTCAACCAAAAGCTCTAAAAATTTGGATTTGGAGGTTTTAGATAATGCTGAACAAAATGAGAATACCAAATTAAAAAAATTTTTTAATGAGTGCTTCGATTATTTGATGGCCTCATGGAAGCTCTCTTAAGATAATGGAACAGTGATTGAAGGTGCTGAAGGTGCCGAACAGGTGCTGAGGTGCTAGGGTGCTGAGTGCCTGCACTTACCCCCTTGAATATTCCAGTTTTTCTCACGTACAGCATGGCTTCACATTTTTTGCAACTGTTCCAACAGGGAAAATTTTGAATAATTCAACAGGAAAATAGTAATTATATCGGTTTTTTTCTGTCTAATAAGAACCTTTCAAGCTGAGCATGAGACAAAACATGGAAAAATATGTCTCCAGTTCACATCTTTCTTCTTGTGAAATTTTCGCGCCTCAATTACAAAGTTGATGAAAATGTAAGAAATGTTTAAATCCGTAGGAACTCTTTTAGGGCCCCCCCCCCCCCCCCCCCCCCCCTCAAAAAAGTCACTTTTCGTCAGAATCATGGAAATCGAGATAAATATATAGGGGTATAGCCTGTCATTTGTCCTTATATAAACGGTAAAAAGTTTTCTTCGGTACCTCCTTTTTTTCCCAAAAATTTTAAAGATTTTTGACAACCCCTATTCGTATAGTGAGATTATTTTACAGCAGCAATGAAAGGAAAAAGAAATATTTTTATTTAATTTTTCGTCCTACGACGTTTCGATAATTTTATTATCATTAACTAGTAGATGTTACAATGAGGAAAAAATGAGGCAACAGTTAACAATTATACAAATGAAATGAGAAAAGTTAATACATAAAATGAAATCATATAATATAATATATATATAAACAAGAACATAATGTGTATATAATTGTTAGCATTATATTATAATCATTTAAAATAATAGAATTTGATAGTAATACTATAGTTGTTATTGATTAACATAGAAATAAGAGTAATGTAGGTAATGCATATTGATATTTTGACTAACAGGAAATGATGATAAAACTATAGATGCATAAAAAAGAATCAAACTGATAAATCATATAAAATAATCATTTAATTCATTTAATAATAATATTGTAAATATCATGAATTAACATAGAAATATGATAAGTCTATGGATATAAACAAAAGAATCAGAATAATGAAATATATACTATACTCAGTTTTGAACAATGACATTTAATAATAGTAATATGGATGTTCAATGAATAAATTGATGATAAGTCCATAATGTATCACATATGAATTAAAATAATGAATCGTATAACATAATCATTTTGATCAATTTAATAATATTATAAATATTATAAATTACCATAGAATTGTGATCAGTCCATAGATATAAACATAACAATCAGAATAATGAATCATATAATATGATCTTTTAGAGCAATATCATTTAATAATAGTAACATAGATACTATAATTTATATTATAGTGATGAGTGATGTAGGTTAATGAATAATGTCATATTGAAATGAACAAATTGAGGATAAGTCAATAATGAGAATGAGAATACTAAAAAACATATAAATTAATGATAAGATTGTAGATGTTGTTAAAAGTATATAATCCAAGTTATGAGTAAATAGGTTAATGATACAAGCATAGACAGAATAAAAAATTCAAATTGTAAATCATGTAGATGCTACAAAATTATAATAATGAGAATAAAGGAGTTTTCATTTCAATTAATAATAATTGTGAATAAATTAATTTACATTAATATATAACAAAAATAGGGTTGGTGTGGGTGTGGGTGGGGGTGGGGGTGTGTGTGGGTGTGGGTGTGGCTGTGGGTGTGGGTGTGAGGGTTCGTATTCCTCATATTCACACCCACACCCACACCCACACACACGCACACACACACGCACACCCACACCCACACCCACATCAACACCCACACCCACATCCACACCCACACCCACACCCACACCCACACCCACACCCACAC